CAATACACATATATCCTTTAATAAAGGGCTGTTATCTTTTTTTTCTCCATACTTCCTTAATTGTAGCCTCTTAATTTCGGATTTACAATTGCTTAGAGGGAGGAGTTTGGTCTTCCTCATAACTCATCCTCCTTAGCAAAACTCTTCAGTCTCATTAAACTGAGACAATGCCACAAATTTGATCCCTCATTTTAGGTAAACCCAAGAGGGTTATTTTCCCATGCAATCTGAAATACTTCACAAGTTGATTGAATTTATTCATTAACACTTGTGGAAATAAAATTCCTCCTCAACAGTTGTGTTGAAGAAAGAAGCTTTCATTTGGCCTCTGGAAGCAGCAAGACAAATCATAGAATCATAGAATCATTAAGGTTGGAAAAGACTTCCAAGATCAAGTCCAACCATTAACTCATTACTGCTAAGTCCACCACTAAGCCATGTCTCTAAGCACCACAGCTACATGTTTTTTGAACATTTCCAGGGACAGGGGTTTCACCATTTCCCTGGGCAGCCTGTTTCAATGCTTTGTAACCCTTTCTGTGAAGAAATTTTTTGTACTATCCAATTTAAACCTCCCCTGTCACAACTTGAGGTAATTTCCTTTTGTCGTATCACTTGTTACCTGGGAGAAGAGACTGACACCCACCTCACTACAACCTCCTTTCAAGTAGTTGTAGAGAACAAGGTCTCCCCTCAGCCTCCTTTTCTCCAGGTTAAACAACTTGCCTTTTATAAAGCCATGCTGACTGGGTCTGACCCCCTGGTTGTCCTGTGTGTGCTGTGTGATGGCACTCAAGGTGACCTGTATCAAAGTCACACTGACAGGCCTGTAGTGTTCCCTGGATCCCCCTTCCAGCATTTCTTGTAGATGGGTGTCATATTTGCTCACCTCCAGTCAACTGGGACCTCCCTGGATATCTAGCACTGAGGATAAATGATTGAAAGTGGCTTGATGAATGCTTCTTCCAGCTCCCTCAGTACTCTTGGGTGAATCTCATCTGATCCCATAGACTTGCATGTGTCCAAGTGGTGCAGCAGATTGCTTACCATTTCCCCTTGAATTATGGGGGCTTCATTCTGCTCCCTGTCTCTGTCTTCCAGCTCAGGGGGTTGCATACCCTGAGAACAACTGATCTTACTATTAAAGACTGAGGCAACGAAGGCATTAAGTACCTCAGCCTTTTCCTCATTGTTGAAGAAATTTTTGACACTAGGTTCTCATCTCCATTAGATAGGTTTATTGGCACAGATCAATTATAATATGTGGTTGTCAGAGACCAGATTAATATCTCACCAGATTGTTTGATTGATGGTTCAAATAAACCATGTTGTCTGTGTGTATGTGGGAGGGGGGGAAGGGGGGGCAGGGAAGGGCTAGGCTTAAGCCTGGAGCCAACATAGCTGCACCCATGCAGAGCACATAGGAAAAGCCATGTGGCTGGGCTGTCAATAAGGTCCACCTGGTGGCCTGCCCCCACCGCACCCCCTGGAGTCTCTAATTGACTGTGGCACTCCTCACTTTGGCTAGGGGGGACAGTGAGTGGCAGTGAACCAAAGGTCCTGCCTAGAGGGAGTGGCCACAATAGCCAGAGCCTATAAATAGTCATGCACAGGTTCTCTATCTTCTCCTTGGCCTTTGCCCTCCTGAACTGTCAATGTGTGACCTTCAGAGTGGTAGATATGTCTCTCTCCTCTCTTTCTGTCGTTATTTTTTCCTGTCTTAATCTCTCTTCCTTTCCTCTTGAGGGCAACTTGTCTGTATTTCACTTAAGTTTCGGTTAGTGTTTATCTAGTATTAAGCGCAATGCATTTCTGAAGTTGCATGTTATTTCTCTTAAACCCTTTTTGCCAAAACCCCTATTTTCTCACCAAATTAAAAGAAATCTCTGAGAAAAATGTGTAGTTTTTGTCTGGACGTGAACTCGAGGTACCAAAGAATCAAAAGGCTTTGCAAGAGTTTGCATGGGCAAAATCTCTTGAAGCCTGAAATAAAAGTGTAACACCCAGTAAAGCGTGGAGTTCTTGGACCAGGGTGTAACAGTGGTAACTCGAGCTAGGTGCCTCAAAAGAGGGATTGTGAGCAAAGAAACCCCTGGGCATTTATACCCTTACGGTCTATGCACCTGTTCTTTACACACTCTTTATACACCTAGCATGTGCCTCTTAGTCCAATGGTGATTTTTGGTCTGGGGTCTTTCTGACACCTTATTGGATTCTTTCTCTGTGTCCATGCGGACAGGTCATTAACACTTTTTAACACGACTTTAGCCTCCTCTGGTTTGTATTTCTTGTGTATAAGCTCAGTTGGAAGAGCATGGGAAACTAAAAAGTCCTTGATTTTGAGTAAGCACTACTTGGAAACAACTAAAACATCAGTGTGTTATCAACATTATTCTCAGACTAAATCCAAACCACAGCACTGTGTAGCTACTAGGAAAATTACTTACTGCATAACCTCATGACATCTTTGCAGTCCTCCTGAGTTGCCTGCCCCTTCTTTCAAAGGTTGTAATCTCTCTTTTTTGACCCTGAGTTTCAGTCAAAGATTTCCGTTCAGCCAGGAGGGTCTTCTTCCCTGCCAGCTTGTCTTTCAGCAGTTGGGGATGCCTGCTCCTTCACCTTTAAGTTTTACTTTTTCAAGAATGTCCAACCTTCCTGGACTCCTTTGCCTTTCAGGACTGCCTCCCAAGAGACTGTCAACCAGACTCCTAAACAGGTCAAAGCCTGCCCTCCAAAAGTCCCAGATGGCAGTCTACTAGCCATCCTCCTTAATTCTTCAAGAATTGAAAACTCTATCATTTCACAATCGCTATGCCCAAGACAGCCTCTGACCACCACATTACTCACCAGTCCTTCTCTGTTCACCAACAGCAGGTCCAGGGAGGCACCTTCCCTACCTGGCTCCCTCACCAGCTGTGTCAGGAAGTTTTCTTACATACACTCCAGGAATCTCCTAGGCTGTTTTCTCTGCTGTTGTATGTCCATCAGACATCTGGTAAGTTGAAGTCCCCCAGGAGTGCAAGGTCTAGCGATCATAAGAGTTCTTCCAGATGCTTATAGAATATTTCATCTGCTTCTTAATCCTGCTTAGGTAGTCTAAAACAGACTCCCACCAAGATATCTGCCTTGTTACCCTTCCCTCTGGTTCTTACCCATAAACACTTGACATCACCATAATTAAGCTCTAGACAATCAAAACACTCCCTAACATACAGGGTACCCTACAGCTTCTCCTTCCTTGCCTTTCCCTTCTGAAGAGTTTATAGCCATTCATTGCAGCACTCCAGTTGTGCGAGTCATCCCACCATATTTCTGTGATTGCAACTTTATCATAGTTTCCCAGCAGCATAACAGCTTCCAGCATCTCCTCTTTCTTGCATTGGTGCATTGCCACATGGATCTCCATTCCCTACCTCCACTGAACTGGCAGACCAAAGGACCTTGCTAGCACACTGCCCCTCAAACATTGGTGTGCTGCCCCCAGTCTTATGTTTAGAAAACCTGGTTTTATCCCTTTCCCCCTTCAAATCTAGTTTAAAGCTCTTTCAATGATAGTAAGTAATAATAATGGCCAGTCTTCGCGAGCGAAGATCCGGGGAAGGTCTTTCCACCTTCCAGCCTGCGCATTGGATTTTTTAGGTGAGACACAGTGTGCGCGGAACTGAGCCCACCCTTTAATCCTAAGGTTCATCTGCCGGGGCCAAGCGAGCTTGGACGGTGGCAGCGAGGTCCTTAGGACGTAGGTGGGTTGCCTTTAAGGGCTAACGAGCCCCACCTGCCCGGGAGTGGCCCTGACCGGGAATCGAACCCGGGTCTCCGCGGTGCTAGCGCGGCGCCTTTACCCCCTAGACCACCAGGGGCTCCTCTTTCAATGATAACTTATGTGTAAATATACTTTTCTGCCTTTGAGACAGTTGTACCCAGCAGGCTCAGTGTTGTGCAGACTGACCATGATGAAAAAAACCAAAATTCTGCCAGTGACACCAGGCTTGGAGCTAGCTATTGATCTGCTGGCCTTTACTGTTTCTTCCCTCATCCTTCCTTGCAACTGGAAGGATAGAGAACACTACTTGTGCTCCTGATCTCTTAACCAGTAGTCCCAAGGCCCCAAGGTCTCCCTTGATTGCCCTTGTTGCAACTTCATAACTGCCTACATGAAAAATCAATAATGGAAAATAATATGAGGGCTGTACCAGAGTAGGAAGCTTTCTCTTCACATAGAATCATAGAATTGTTTGGGTTGGAAGGGACCTTAAAGGTCATCTAAGTACCAACCCTCCTGACATGCATTGGGACACCTTCCACTAGACCAGATTGCTCAAAGCCCTGTCCAGACTGGCCTTGAACACTTCCAGTGACGTGCTGATGTTTAGAGAGGACGTAGCCTTCTGCCAGGTGGACACCATTGCTCCCTGTTCAATCCAGCAGAACTACAGTATTCTTGCTGATGAGCCATGCTCCCAAGGGGCTTCTTTTATATGAGGGGCGGGGCAGGGGAGTGGGGTTGTGAGTTGGCTGCGATTGCTCCTGTCTGTGCTGAGGTCCCATGAGCTGCTGTCTCTGAACTTCAGCCTCCTGGTGGCTCTCTTGGCTCCCCTGAGGTTCCCCAATTCAGGAAATCCCCCTGTGCACTGTGCTAGAGCGTCCCACTGCAGATCATGCTGGCATGGGAGCTGCTCACCTCAGTGATGTAGCTTTATTTGGTATTATCTCTAATACAGCTCCTTGAATGTCTACTTACTGAATATTAGGTGTTTTCTCATGCTGCTGAGGGATACAGAAATGAGAACAACAAAAAGGAGCTACATCATGGTAATGTTTTTCATCAAAAGAGATAAAAGTAATTTTTGGCATTTATTTTTCAGTTTCTAAATAAAGATTGGTTCTTATCTAGCATTTAAATAGTCATTGACCTTTTGAGAAAAAGCCCATATAGTAAGTAGTCATGATTGAAGGGAAAACTTACAAGTACTTACATACAGAATGACAAGAAATGTCAATACTGCTTTACTGCTTTTGTATTTTATTGTGGAACTGAGTTTTTTTCTTTTACATCAAATATGCTCAATGGAAGAGGGGACATTGTGCACAAATATCATAAAAGCACTGCATATTACTTTCACTGGAAACTAATTTTCTACATTAGATATGACTGGAGAGAAGTGATACAGGATTATAAGACATAATACCATAGACAGCTGCAGACTGACACAAACACCATTCAGAACAAGAGAGGAGGTGTGTGAGGTGCTTTTCAGCCAGCAACAAGACTGTTTCTTTCCATAGTATTGAAGATGATGGCTACATGCAAATGTGTGAAAGCATATTTCAGATTTCCTCTTTTACAGTTGTGATTACAGCTCAGTCTGGAAGAGGTAGCTCTGCCATCTGGAGCTCCTAGCTAGTCTAGTTCAGAGAAGCTTTTTATGACATTGTTTTATTTAGTTACCTACTTTTTTTAGATTTTTTTTGTAAAGTCACAACAGACTTTTTTCTTTTTTTATTTTAAACAAAATTACTATTTCTCTCAAAACATCATAGCAAGAACCTCTTGCAACAGATGAACAAAGAGAAGCCTATGACAGAAATGTCCTAAATGCACAGTAAGTGCTCTTTGGAGCTGACTTGCTTGTGGTAGGATGGATTGAAAATTCAATTAACAAATTGATTAAATCTTTGTAAATGAGTACTAGAACTCTCCTAAAATGCATAAGCTATTGTAGACAATTAAAAAACCCCATTCATATACACAGTTACCTCCATTCACTACAGTATGCAAGATAATAATAAAAAAAATCAAAAGTGAATTTTATGAAAGAAGGCATGAAAAGTAGAGGTCAATGAAGTCAGGCCCACCACAGGACTTTGAAAAGGCACAAAAGAGAGGCCCTGTCCAAGTTAAGGAGTGGCGTGTAATCTCTAATGTTAATTCTTCATTGAATTTTATGAAACAGTAGAGTAATAGCATAAAGATCATGACTGGAGATGCTGTTAGGGGTAATACCATCATTTTAATGGAGTGTCTTATTGAATCTGTATAATTAAAATAATAATAATGGCCAGTCTTCGCGTGCGAAGATCCGGGGAAGGTCTTTACACCTTCCAGCCTGCGCATTGGATTTTTTTAGGTGAGACACAGTGTGCGCGGAACTGAGCCCACCCTTTAATCCTAAGGTTCATCTGCCGGGGCCAAGCGAGCTTGGACGGTGGCAGCGAGGTCCTTAGGACGTAGGTGGGTTGCCTTTAAGGGCTAACGAGCCCCACCTGCCCGGGAATCGAACCCGGGTCTCCGCGGTGATAGCGCGGCGCCTTTACCACTAGACCACCAGGGGCTCCATCTGTATAATTAATCAATAACAAACCATGCTCCTAGAAATCCATGCTGATCAACAGCACTCATCATTTATGTATAGGCCACATTTTGCTGACTGTGACTAAACGGATTATGTAGTGATTAGCACAGTTAGATTAGTTACACAGGCAGGAAAGACATAAGGGCAAGAGGAGCTAATGGAGGAGTTCATTGCTGTGTTACACCCAAGCATAATTAACATTTAAAAGGGAATGGATGGAATAGGCATTACAATACCTCAGAAAAGTCAGACTGGGGTTTTAATATTCTTGTAGCAGCAAAATATAAATAAATGTTTTAAGATTGGCTGTAACTGCCTAATTATTATTATTTTTAAAGTAAAATAAATGCTTGAACCATCACAAACTTACTTGGAGAGATTTAAGACTTGATTCTAATTTCATTAGACCAAATGACTGTAACTTCCCTAATTGTAGTGAAATTGCTCCTGAATCACAGGAGTAAGTGGCATAAGTGAAATTAGTCTGAGGACTATTGGTGTATTATATTTTCTACCAAAGTAGAGGCACAAACCATTTCAAATATTATCAGAAAATCAGTTCCCACCCACTCAAAAAGTTTGAAATATTGTAGAAATTGAGCAACTATTCTACTAAACATTTTGCCTATAACTTTGAAGACTATGTATTACAAAAGCAATTTTAAGTGAATGGTTATGAGCCCAGCAAACATGCTTGTTTTCACAATAAATTTCCATCTGCCTTTTCTGTCATAGTCATTCTGAGTGAAGTTCCTAACAACTTAAATAGTATAGCAATAAATAAACCATCATTGCTAGAGAGACCTAAAATGAAAAAGACATTAAAAATAAATCAAATATCTCAACAGTGGACAAACAGTAATTCACAGTATTAAATAGGCCACAGGAGCCCACATTTAATGGGTCCTAAAGCAGTATTAAAAAAAAACCCATAAAAATTTGGAGTGCAAACATATACCTATTAAACAAAAATATCCTAACAATGTAAAATTGAAATAAATTATAAGTAATAATGGCCAGTCTTCGCGAGCGAAGATCCGGGGAAGGTCTTTACACCTTCCAGCCTGCGCATTGGATTTTTTAGGTGAGACACAGTGTGCGCGGAACTGAGCCCACCCTTTAATCCTAAGGTTCATCTGCCGGGGCCAAGCAAGCTTGGACGGTGGCAGCGAGGTCCTCAGGATGTAGATGGGTTGCCTTTTTAAGGGCTAACGAGCTCCATCTGCCCGGGAGCGGCCCTGACCGGGAATCGAGCCCGGGCCTCGGTGGTGACAGCGCCATGCCCTTACCACTAGACCATCAGGGGCTCCAAATTATAAGTAAAGAAAATAAAATGAGGTCATAGTTCACTACATTGTGAAGCTTAATACCATCCATAATGGTGAATCATACAGACCAGCACATATCTTTGTTTTGGAGGCCTTTACACCTTCGATAAGTTCAGGTTTGCAAACCCTCTACAATGTAACAAGACTTTTTAATTGGGATAAAACTTCTGAGACTAAAAAAATCCAAACTGTCTTAAATTACAGAACTGTTCTACATACTGTTCCACTGCAAGTAGTCTAGAGAAGGAAGAGAAGGGGGGAAAGGAAGAGAGAGAGGAAGGAGGAAAGGAAAGGGACTTAACTTATTGCTTAATCTATCTTTTTTCAAGATCTTGTGAGGATCAAGAATATAAATTACAACCCTTGTAAATATTCGACAATCAGCATTTCAAATCACATTTTCTGTTATTATCAATTTTACCAACAGAGTGCCCCTTCCCTGCTCCTCCCATAAAAGTGTGGCAGTTGACTATTTTCAACAAATATTACCTCAATATCCATTCTCACTAGAACCTTAAACAACATTAATTTATCTTACAAGACTACTAAAAAATTGCCTTCACCTGAAAAATTTTTCTTTGCATTTTCCTGTAAATGAAAACTTTTCTTAAAAATCCATTAAAAGTTCACGTGGCACTAAAAAAAGGTTTTCTGTACATTTGTTCCCATATTTACTCTTAAATTAAACAAATAAAATAAGGTAAAACAAAGGAAGATTGTATACCATACAGACTTTCAGGTAACCTTTTTCATCATCCTGAATATTTTATCAAGTTTTGCAGCTCTGATACTGGACACCACTTCAATCTTTCTTCCACAATACAAAAGAACCTTTCAAAAAAAATTCTCATCTTGCTTCGAGTTGTCCTGGTGCATCAATGATATGTTCACAGAAGTAACATATATAATTCATAGCACCAAGCTGTTTGATCAGTCAGATAGGTTTCTAGTACACACTTCATGCACACTCACACTTCTTTACTGGTGCAACTATGATTCTACACAGATGTTTTGTAAATTTTCTGTCTCAACAATAAAAACTAAGTGCATCAAGTTTCTTTGTACATTCAAGTCACTTTCTAAGGTAAATTGTCTACTGTATGTACTCCCAACTGCTTTGGTATTTTGTTTCAGTTAATTGACAGTGGACATGGGTGTTTAAGCATATGTACTGATCAGTTGTGACTGGAGTGAGTGGAGTTTTACTGGAAGCACATCTTAGACCAACAATTTTGCATGTTGAAAGAAAGATTTTAGAATTCTCAATGGGGTTCAGACTACATGCATATTTGGCCTACAATTGTTATGGGATGTCAGTATGCAGGGTTCAAATTAAAGTGGAAAACTACTAATGAGCATTTAGGTTATATGTCCCTTCCTAGCCACATTCTGCTTCTTATTTTGCAGCTAACTTAATTCTGTAAAGTAAGGATCTCCTTTGCAATAGCTCAGATTGATACAAATTTAAAACCTCCTTTTCATGTGAGTGCATAAACTGCTATTGCCACACGACTACTAGAGATTTAATTATTTATTACTTTTTCCTCCTACTTCTCTCTTTTTCTCTCTTTGTAATTCTTTAGAGGACAAATGCCTTTACCTGACAGGAGTCACTTGGAGTTGCTAGTACATGGTTTCCAAAAATTCAGTGGAGATGAAACTGGATCTGTATTTTCACAGTAATTTTGACCCTACTATGGGAATGCTGTTATTTCCCTCAGCAATCAGTAAAGACTGAAAAATATTAGTGACTTGCATCACCGTGATATGGTATAGCATTTTTCAGGTATACGGTTCAGCAGTTGAATCAGATGGGTTGAATTTTTAGAAAAGGTGTTTTCAAACTGAAGAATTTCTGGAACAAAGGTAAATCTTGTGGTGTGTGGCCTGATTCTTACAGTTCAATCTTGCATGCGGGAAAAGATTCATCTTGCATAACAACAGTGCTGCTGCTTGCCAAAACCATGATGTTGAGGTCCTGCTGTTTTTCATGGGTCTCTTGGTACCATTCTCTCATCACTTCTGAGTCATGGGTTGGGATTAAGGTCACCTGCAACACAAAACAGAACTCCTGAGGAATGGACAACAGAAGCAACTGATAAGAAAAATGTGTTTGTAAGAAGTCCTAACCAACAAGTATGATTACCTTTTGGAAAGAGTGGATCAGAAAAAAAAAACAAACAAAAAAACCAATGTAGATAAGATAAAATGACTGAGAAGAAGCAGTTTATCAGAACGAAACCTTGGTTCTCTAAGGTGCTAAGGTGCACCTTTCCAGAGAAGTAGCAGTCTGTAGTCTGCACCAATAGCTCTTCAGATTATGGTAAAATATTTTGTTTACTTATTACTTCATGTTGGAAAGGCACATGAAGTTTCCATGTTTACCATATAAACCATGAAACATTCCTACTTACAAAATGCAAGGTTTCCAAACTTGGATTATATATGGTATAGCAACAACATCAAGTAGACAAATGGCCCTGTAAACCAGTTCCTGTTTTATTTTCCAGAGACAGGTCAGAAGGACCAGAAATGGGGAAGCAGATGAGTATGGTGCAGCTCTGTGCCTCACTTGGGTGTCGTCTCATATCACTGGTGAAACAAGGTGTCCAGGCTGGGAACTCCTGTCTCCAGCAGCCACTGCTCACTCCATAGGCACTCTGGTTTCCTGTAGTTGCTTCCCATAGAAGATTAAATTTCCAGGTAGAAATACTAGCAAAAAACCTACCTGCATGTTATCATCCCACTGGGCCTTGCCCTCCAACAGGGAGTCCAGAACAGCCCTGCTTGGCTCCTCAGATGCAGAATTGTTCCCGCTCACCACATAGTAGGATGACCGCACCCTCTTGAAAAACTCAACATCAACATTTTTTCTATTGCTGTGGTTGGGAATGTATACCAGATCCAAATACATTGGAGGTCCTGGAGGGACCGCTGTAGATTTTGCAGACTTACTATTTCCAGGTCCTTTGGAAATCAAACAAAAAAATATCACAGGCTAGTTAAAACATGCATTTTTTAATTACCACTATAACTGTTGAGATTATATTCTTAAAATTGCATTAGTTAAACATTACATAGCTACAATTGTACTTCTGTGTCCCCTGAAACACTTATGACATTACCCTCCTACATCTAATAACATATTCCAACTTTGTTGTATGCCAATTACAATTGTACTGGGAGGAAAAAAATTGAATAAAAATAACTATATAATACAATAAAAACTCACTACCACATAACCAACATTTGATTGAACCTTTCCCAGTAGTATACTACTATTATCCAACAATTACTATGCAGGTCTGTGATTACTGAATTACCATTCAATAAATGACAGTATTATTTTCCTAGTTAAGAAGAAAAGCTTTTTGAAAGTCTCAGGTATGCATGATTATAAAAGCTAGGGTCATACAGGGAGCCATGCAGAAGTGATCCTGAGATTTGGAGTATCAGCACATACCAAGACATAGTAGCTGTTGATATGCTCAGACTGTCTTACATGTGCATCAGGAAGACACTACATGTGAGAAGAAAGAGGGGCAAAGGGGAACTTGGGAGAAAAGAGAATCTTCCTAAAGCAATTACTGCAGGAAACTGAGAACAAATGTTTGTTTGCCTACTGTATCCTTATTTGCATACACAAACTAGCCAGTTATCACAAAAAGTAGAGGGAAACATGGTTTTGCTGCTATACATAGTGTAGTATTTGTTCTAAGAAGAGGTCAAAAGGAAGTTCAAAGTTTAAACACATTAAAAATACTAGCAAAAATAGCTGCTTTTACTGCACACTGGATCACAGTGTTAACTGACAATCAGGATTCAACTAGTAATTTTATCTAGATGATCACTATTTATGTTTTATTGACCTCCTCATGATGTTACAGAGGATGAAGCTTGTTAAACTAAATTATCTGAACAATACTCTATTTAGGATCACATATTGTAAATACAGGAAAGTCCAATACAATTGTCTAGTGTGACCTGCCATTCATCATAGGGTAATATGTCAAATAAGCATCGTAATATGATAAGATTTCCTGAATTAGAGAGTTTTTAATTATTTGGTTATATTACAAAATCTTTTATCATCTTTCATCATAAAGAATCTTTCTGAATTGCGGATACCAACATTGGATAAAATATTAGACACTACATTTTTCACTTAAATGTCATTATCAAATAGTCTTGTCTTCAGCACTAGAATATACCTGAGAAGTATGCTTCAAGGAAGAAGAATCTAAAATAAAACTGAAGTGCCGGAGAAATGTACAGCATGAGGAACTGCACTGCTGCTTTGAAAAACATCTACTGAGAGACATGCAAATAATGGTGTAAGAAAGGAACAGTGGACCACTTAAAATGATGAAGTTACAGATAGCTGAATGCTGGTTTGCTTGTACTGAATCCTTGTAAAAAACACTCAATAGAACATCAGTCTTGACGAGTAAAATCCAAGCATCCCCAAAACACTCTCTAACAAGATCTGACAGAAACAAAATATTAGCATAATGTGTCCTTCAGTAATCTAATTCATATTTTATTACTACTTGGAATATACAACATTCATTCAAAATTACACTAGTTTTCTGTATGTTTAGTCATCACTGATGGCATAAAACTTTAACTGAATTATGTGATATACATGCTCAGCTCACAGAAAGTGCTCTTACAACTGTTATAATTTTTTTAAAATACTATTTCTAAAATTAATCCAGCAAAGTAATAAAAGCATCCAATGTCTGATTGTACCTATGCCTCTCACAACATTGAATTGCATTATTTTATGTTAAGAACATTATGCCTAGATGATTCTTACAATCAATAAAGTGATTTACTTTACTACTGATTTCACTTCACCTACAGAAGTGGTACTTTTAATTCTATTAGTTGGTTAACAATTCAGACATTTAGTATTAAGTTCTTTATATTTTATGTACCCTTTCTAATTCTTTACATCTGAAAAAACTGACACATCAAGTTTATCAGATTTCAAAAGTTAACTCAGTACATTTCATTCATTTAAATGTAGCCATAATACACCAGATTTATATTTAAAACATGAACTTTGGGGGTTTGCTACAAACCACATTGTCAGCTGATATAAAGTCAACCTAATGTCACTGCAAAACAAAGAAAATCTTAACATTAGGGAACTCCTATCTATACCTGTGGTTGCAGTCTTTGCTGACTTGTATGTTGTTGTATTTGCTGCATTCTTGGTGTCCTTGTCTTTATCTTCCAATCGAGACTTTACTTCTGGATTAGAGATATTTTTGGTTGCTTTCTCCACAGACTCCTTCTTTTTTGGAAAAACTGTTTTGGAATTTTTCTCTACAGATTCTTTTACAGTTGGTTTGGGTGAAGCCGTTTGTTTTGGTTTACTATCACTTTTTTTAACAGGAGAAGACAACTTGGTCTTAGTGCCCTGCTTTTTTGTCTTTGTCTTTTCTTTGAGGTCCTTCTTCAAAGGTTTACCCAAATTCTGATCAGTGGGCAAAGTCTCTGGATCAACCATGGAGACATCAGGATGCCTAGGGGAAGGGCTGTGATCCTGCAGCGGGACAGGTGATGGGTCAATTTGTTTGTACATAATTGTCTTGTCTGCCGGAATGGTTTCTGACTCATCTTCTGAATCAATGTTAGCATCTGCAGTGATGGAAGGGCATTCCTCAGTCTCAGGGGGAACATCTGAATCAGTCTGAGATGGGGCAGACTCGCTCATGGATGTGGGAGGGGTTTCCTCACACTGCTGCTCTTGCTGCTTTCCCCCAGAAGGTGGCTGAGCTCTCCCAGATTGAGTTAATGGTTTCTTTTGATATTGAGACTGTTCTTCACTTGCAAACCACTCAAGGGGATTTGGGTTGATAAATGAGGGTGAAAGTTCAGTTTTAGGATGTTTATATTCGCAGGAGGACACAAGGCATAAGTCAACATCTTGATGGGATTCTGCTAAAGGTTTTCCTGGAGTAAAATGTGCACTTGCTTCATAGGAATAGCTAGTAGCTTTTGATGATCTAGTGGTTTTCTCAGTTGTCTCAAATGAGTAATCTGTGGCTTCAGGTGAGCTGGTGGCTTTCCCTGTTGTCTCATAGGAATAATCTGTGGCCTGAGGTGACTTAGATTTTGAAACTGCCCCATAGGAGTAGCTAATATCCTCTGGTGACCTAATAGTTTTCTCTGTGGCCTTGTAAGAATAATTGAGTTCTTCTGGTGATCTGCTGCTTTTCTCTGAATCTTCTTTTTCTGGGCTGATTAAAGGTTCTGGACTGTGCTTTGTTAGGGGTTTCTGGCAACCAAATGCTTTGACAGAGGACACTTGCAAAGATAATGAAGATGTGTGGCCAGCTGACACAGCTTCCGTGATTGCAGGAGATGAATCTGGAAAACTAGGAGAGTACAGAGGAGAAGATTCCCTTGGAGTTAATGGAGATAGATCAGACTTTGATGAAAGCTTTTCTCCTAAACTCTGCATCTTTTCTGAGATAAGAGAAGAATGTAGTGTCATATGTTTGGGTGGAACAGCACCTGAAAAGGTTTCTTCTGGCAGTGGCGAAGTTAACTGGGAATGTGTATGAGCTGATGAAGTCGAGGATGAAACTTCAATTTGAGAAACTGAAATAATTTCTGAAATGTCCTTCTCCTGAGAGTAAGATGACTGCTCCACAGGGGAAATCTTCCATGCATAAATAGAGTCCTGTATATTTGAAGGGCTGTAATCTACTTCTGTTGGTCCATTTTCAGATATATGGTGTATACTAGTGCCTACAGTAGGATAGTCTGGAGATTTCCTGCTAAAGTCCATTGTTAAAGACTGCTCAGGAGACTCCTGACCAAATTCTATTGACATAGTTGACTGCTCAGGAGATCTGTGATTGTGCACTGGGGTTCTTGATTTTGTAGTTTTAGGTGAGAAATCAGGTGGAGAAATTGACATGGGCCTTGGGCATTCTTCCTTAGATGGAGACATGTCTGTTTCCTGAAACATTGTTGGTGTTTGTACAACTGACACTGAAAGGGAATCATCGACTTCAGTAGAGTGGGGTGATCCAACCTCAGCATGCAAAGAAGGAGACACATCATCAGTAGTTGGTTCTGGAAATGAACTAGTAGCAACAGATGCTGTAGAGACAGAAGCTACTCCTTCTATGTGGGAATAGGTGTCTTCTGCTACAACCTCATCAACTGGAGTTGCAGATGTGTCAGAAACAGTGCCTTCCGAAATTGACATTTTGGTCTCTTCTTTTAAGGAACCAAACTGACCAATATCTATTTGAGTAGGTGAGAGATCACCTGCTAACTTCTGCTCATCCAAGACCAGTGAAGACTGGGAGCTGCTGGGTTCTGTATCCCCAATTTTCCTTTCTAGGTTTAAACTTTCCTTAATTACCGTAAACTCCATGCTTTTTTCATCTTGTTTTTCTTGGAAAAGGCCCACAGAGCTGGCTTCAGAAGCTGGGCTCATCTGAACAGGTGATTTTTCCTTTTCAGGTTTCCCCTCAGAAGGATTTCCATAATCTCTGGTGGGAAACTTTACATCATCACTCAAAAATGTATCATAAGTGGTCTCTGAACCTATCAGTGGCGGACTCCGTAGAGGCAAGAGAACCTTTTCAATAGGAGATTCTGAATCTGGCACAGGCTCATCCATAGGGCTTATTCTGGGTTTTGCAGACTCATCTTTGTCTTCACTGACTTCAAAGATAACAGGAACTTCTGTTAACTTTTCACTGGTTTCAGAGGGAATCTGACTGGATTTTTCATCAGTGGGAGATTGATAATAAGGTGTGTGGCCAGAACTACCAGCAGCAGACTGTGAGGGAGATGGTACTTCTAATGTTTTATGATCAGGGCTTGCACAGTGCTCTTTGGCAACTTCTTGATGTACATCAGACAACATAGCAATGGGTACAGGCTCAACCAAGACCTTGATCTCACTGGGTGTGAGTGAAAAGTTCACACAGCATTCAACCAGTGGTGTTTTGGCAACAGGTGATGGAGGGGACAAACTGTTAGCTGGGGTCTTGGTTGGACTATGTTTTCCACAATCTTCTGGATAGGCTTCTTTGATTTCTAATTTGTCAGTGCCTTGGATTTCATTTCCTTTTTGACAGTATACATCTTGGAATGCAGATTTACAGAATTTGTCTTCCTCTAATGAAGAAGGTGGTGAGATGGTAGAAGCTGAGGCATTATAGTCTTTACCTTCTGTGGCCTCTGTTTTGGATCCCTCTGATGATCCATTAAAAGCATCTGGAAGTGGAGAAAGTTTAGGTCTAGAAAATTCTTGAGAGTACAGTGATGTCTCATACTTGGTAATGTACATATACTCTTGAGAAGGTGACTCACTTTCCTCATTGTTAGTTTCATCACTCATGACATCATGGGGTATAGACATTTCATCCATTGGAGTTGGTTCACTGGATATTTCAATGGTAGACTGTGTATAAACTGAAGTAGCAGTGAATTCCTCATGTGGATCTTCCCTCTCTTCTTCATCAGAAACAGTGGTTTCACTTTCTGAACCACCAGGTAATGTTTCATCACGAATAGAAGAAGTCAGTTCAACTGCTGGAGACTGAGGCTCTGAGTGTTTTGTTGGTGTAAATATGAGTAGGCCATATTTATCTTCAACTTCACCAACTTCTGCATCTTTGTCTACCACAGCCATCACATAATCTTCTTCAGCTTCTATTTTTTCAGTTTCCTCTTCATCTCTAATGTCTTTTGCTTTGTCTTCTTCCTCTTCTTCAGTCTCTTCAGTTTCTGCCTTTTCTACTGCTTCTTCCCTGTCTTGCTCAGCCTGTTCATCTGATGCCTCATCATCTGTGTTTTCAATATATTTTTCAGCTTTAATATTAGTATCTGCTTCAGCCATTATTTCATCTGAACTCTCTTCCATTTTTCTTGCTTTCTTCATATATGGTTTTGTGGTGACCAGTTGTGTCTTTACCCTCTCATCTTCACCTTGTTCTTCAGCTTCTTCTGTCTCTGCTTTTTCCTCATAATATCCTCCTTCATATGATTCTTCCAAGACAGTTCCCTCATCTTCAAACTTTTCATGGTCATCAACCCTGTGTTTTTCCACAGGTTCCAATTCTTCAGGTGTTTGTCCACACTCACCCTCAGCCTCTGTGGTAGTTACACCTTCATCAGAGGACTCAGCAGGTCCTTCATTATCTATTTTTTCTTTTTTGACTTCAAAGGCCTCTTTTTGTTCTGTGCCAGTGAGTTTCAGTTCATCTTCTATAAGTGCAACTTGAAGTTTCATTTCTTTTATTGCTTTTATTTCTTCAGCTTTTAATTCCTCAAAATCCTTTGTTAAATCCTCTGGTGAAGACATAAGGGATCTCTCAACTTGAAGTTCTTTTTCACTAGTTGTAATTTCTGCAGCTGCTACAGTGGTGGTAGTGGCTACAACTGCTGCAAGGGCACCTTGAGCTCCACTGACTTCAATATCCTTCTTCACAGTCTTAATTTTTATTTTTTCCTTTGGCTTTCCAGCAGATATTGCTTCTTTTTTAGCAGGTTCCTCCTTCTTTTGTGGTTTAGGCTTTGCTGCTGGCTTTTTTACTTCAGTCGAAGGAGCAGATGTCTTCTTTGTTTCTTTAGGAACCTTCTTGATGTCTTTTTTGATTCCTTTTTCTTCCTTCTTAATTTCCTTCTCTTCTTTTTTACCTTCTTTTTTAACTTCCTTTGGTGGAGCTTCTTTCTTTACTTCCTTCTTAGTTTCCTTCTTCTCTTCCTTTTTCACGTCTTTTTTAACTTCTTGCTTGATCTCTTCTTTTTTGTGTTTTTCCTCTTTTTTGATGGGTGTTTTCTCTTCTTTTTTAGAAACCTCTTTCTTTGATTTTTCTTTTTCCTCTTTCTTTTCTGCAGGTTTTGCTTTGACTTCCTTTTTCACTGGCTTGTCCTTTACCACTTTTGGTTTTACATATGTAACTTGTTTTTCAGGAGTTTCATATTTCACTAATTGTTTTTCTTTAATTGTTACATCTTTTTCTGCCACTATAGGTTTGGTCTCCACTTCTGCTGGTTTCTCTTTTTTAACTGGAACTTTTTCTTTGCTTTCCAATTTCTGAATCTTTTCCAGTGCTGAATTAGGTTTTGCAGGCTCCAGTGTTTCTTCTTTAGATTCCTTTCTGACAGGCTTGCTTGGCGTCTTTGCAGCAGGCTTCAGACTCTCCTTGCTGTCTGTTTGCTGTTTCAATTTTGCTTGTTTCACAGCTGGGCTAGCAATGTTTCCAGTTAGGTCTTTTTGCGTAACCATTGGTTGTTTAAGAAAGTCTAAGTGTTTGAGTTTTTCTAGTCCCTCTAGAATATTATATTGGGTGCTGTTTCCAGGAAACAGAACTCGGATTATTTTTTCTACAGGATTAGCTGGATGCCACACAATCAGGGATGAGACAGAGGTGAAATAGGATAATGGAATGTCTAGTTCTTGGCCATTTGGTAGCAGGAATTCAGTTTTATCTTTGCTAGTACCACTCCACTGATGCATAAAATATTGCATCTCTTTGCTATTTTTAACAGGATTAAGCACATACATCTCAAGTCTGCCAACTCCCATTTTCTGAAATAAAATGATGGGGTCAGTGGTATTCCCTATGTTTCTGAAAAGAGGTTCTGGTTTCATAGACAATTTATTTAAATACTGGAGAGTAAAACAAGCTTCTTCTACACTCCTTTTTACTCCAAAGTCAGGATTCAGATTCTTCAGGTTCTCAGGTATATTAAGGAATACGACTCCTAAATCAGGTGAGATCAGATTTTTCATCCAGTCACTGTTGGTAGTAGACCCTTGGGACTGTTCCTCTTCTAACTCAGCTATCTTTCGTTGAAGTATGCTATTGACTCCTGGCAGGTTATCATCTCCAATGTGAGTGAGTAGAATGGAATCTACTCTGTCCAAGTGCCGGATAAGTTTCCAAAAGCAAGATTTTCTTTCGGATCCTCCATTGATAAGCATGTTGAATCCATTCACTGCAAACAACGCAGAATCCCCTCTTCCACCAGGGAAAATATAACAGCAGGGTTTAGAGAGTTTCAAGAAGCCTCCTGAAGTTGGAGGTTCCAAAATGTCAAAGGGCGATGGCACTTCTACTGATTCTGACAGATACTCAGTGAATTCAGAGAGTCCTTCCATTTTGGGCAATATGGAAGCTGAGTTGAGTTTAATGTTAATAAAGTCTTGAAGGTTGTGTCTGTCAAGGTTGGAATTTTTCCATTCTCCTTCCTCAGGGCAGAAAAGAGTTAAGCTGGCTTTGTTGGCAGGGTGTGTGGTGCTCAATAATTCACCAATCTAGGGTTGTAAAACAAAACCACAAGAAGATGCATGTAAATTAATTTGTTAATGACAATTATTATCAGTACATAATGCTTCTGGATGAGATAAAACCTTTTTCATTCGCTTCTGCACTGTTGAGTACCCATCCTAGAAGCTAAAGGAACCTGTGAGCACAATTAGTTTTCTACTGCATTTTTTTTAAATGCAAAGTTTATGAGGAAAGGTCCCTTCCTCGTGGCCTAAAGGAGGAAAGTACCCTGAGGCTCCCCCACCCCTCCTCTACCCTTTATAGGACAGTACAAGCTTTTATTTAGAGGGGATGAGGGCTATGAAGCTAATGTTGCCAGAGTTGCCACTATTTCTGCCATTGGCTCATAAGTCTCCTTGCTACCCCTGCTCATTCAGAAGAGCCAGCCAAATATCTAAGAGAAACAGCACATCCTCTTAACAAGAAGACAATAACTGCAGCCCAGAGAAGGCTAGAATACTCCTGGAGCAGCTGTCTTCCTCATCCCCTCCTTACACAGGATGTATTCCACAACACCACAGTTCTTTTTGCAGACTGGCTTCTGGCTCCCAAACTGCAGGACAGTTTTCCAGAATACTAAGAAATTATTTATTGCATCAAAAATGCAAACAGTTGCAAGTTTTGTATTTGTGAGGCAAATATAGTTATATATGTTCTATTGTTCTGGTTTTGGCTGGGATAGAGTTAATTTTCTTCACAGCAGCTAGTATGGGGATGTGTTTTGGATTTGTGCTGAAAACAGTGTTGATAATACAGTGATGTTTTAGCGAATGCTGAAAAGTGCTTCCATAGAGTCAAGGCCTTTTCTGCTTCTCACATCACACCACCAATGAGTAGGCTGTGGGTGCACAAGGAGTTGGAAGGAGACACAGCCAGAACAGCTGACCCCAACTGAGCAAAGGGATATGACCGTATGATGTCATGCTCATCATATGAAGCTGGGGGAAGAAGGAAGGGGAGGACATGTGGAGTGATGGTGTTTGTCTTCTCAAGTCACCATCATTCATGATGGAGCCCTGCTTTTGTGGAGATGGTTGAACACCTACCTGCCCATGGGAAGCAGTGAACTAATTATTTAGCTTTGCTTGCATGCATGACTTTTACTTTTCCTATTAAACTGCCTGTCTCAACCCACGAGTTTTCTCACTTTTACCCCTTCGAGTCTCTAAGTAAGCTGGTGTATGGGGCTTAATTGCCAGCTGGGATTAAACTATGACAAATATATATAAAAATACACATATCATATTATGCAATATATGCTATATTATAATGATATATATATATAGTTTTATAAATAAAATAATATAAATTCAGGGTTAAAGAAAGAACCAAAAAAAGTGTTATGGTTAAAATCAATTGTGTTATTATTTTTATTTTAAACACTTGGATCACAAAAGTGAAAATCTAGAATAACTCCATTAATTTTGACAGTGTTTAATAACATGTGTCCTAGTTTCAGCCAGGGCAGGGTTAAATTTTTACAGAAGCTGGGAGGGGAGAGTGGTCAGACCCTAATGTTATTTGATACCCTCTCATGTCATTGCCAGGGGTGGGGGAAAGGGACTGTCTCTGGATTCGGAGGAGAAGGGTGTCCTTTTTCCATTCAGGAGAAAATGTGGTCTGGAGGAGCCAGTTGGGTTTTTTTGTGGTTTTCCATGTAAATAATTTCTTTGTCTTATATCTTTTGTTATTAATATTGTTGCTGTTACGGTTCGTTTTCTTACCTTGTTGCTGTTTCCAGTAAATTGTTCTTATCTCAACCTGTGATCTTTGCCTTTTGTGCTTTCAGTCAGGGTGGGGAGGGGGAACAAGCAGCGTCTGGTTTGGGAGAGTCTTGGTGGGGGCACTAAATTGGGGAGTACCATTCCTAAACCACAACAGCCTTATTTAGCACCCAGCTTGGGGCATGAAGGGTTGAGATAACAACAGATCTGCCTAGAGTGTGTTGGAAACAAATTTGATCTATGCATTTTTCTGTATTAGGTATGGAGCCACTGGTCACAATGTCACTTGGTTCTGATTGACAGGAGGCTGAACATGAGCCAGCAGTGTGCCCAGGTGGCCAAGAAGGTCAATGGCATCCTGGCTTGTATCAGGAATAGTGTGGCCAGCAGGACAAGGGAAGTGATTCTTCCCTTGTACTCAACACTCAAGTACTGTGTCCAGTTCTGGGCCCCTCAATTTAGGAAGGATATTGATGTGCTGGAATGTGTCCAAAGAAGGGCAACAAGGCTGGTGAAGTGACTGGAGCACAAGTCTTATGAGGAGAAGCTGAGGGAGCTGGGGTTGTTTAGCCTGGAGAAGAGAAGGCTCAGGGGGGACCTTATCACTCTCTAGAACTACCTGAAGGGAGGTTGTAGCCAGGTGGGTATCTGTCTCTTCTCCCAGGCAACTAGCAGTAGGACAAGAGGGCACAGTCTGAAGCTGCACCAGTGGAGGTTTCAGTTAGACATTAGGAAGAAATTCTTCACAGAGAGAGTGATTGGGCTATGGAATAGGCTGTCCAAGGTGGTGGTGAAGTCACCATCCCTAGAGGTATTTAGGAAGAGAGTGAATGTGGCACTTAATGCTATGATCTAGCAGACCTTATCATTGGTGACCTCAAGTTCTACAGAGTCAAGAGACTCTCCAACATATAGAGTCACCCCTCCACCTCTCCTACCCTGTCTATCCTTTCTGAAGAGCTTGTAGCCATCCATGGCAGCACTCCAGTCATGTGAGTCATCCCACTACATTTCTGTGATAGCAACTACGTCATAGCTTTCCTGCTGCATGATGGCTTCCAGCTCCTCCTGTTTGTTGCCCATGCTGCATGCATTAGTGTACATGCACTTCAGCTGGGCTACTGATTTTACTCTTAACTCGGGCTTTTTATCCCTGGGCTTCTCTTTGGAGAGCCTGGATTCAACCCCTTCCCCCTTCAAACCTAGTTTAAAGCCCTCCTGATGAACCCTGCTAACTTATGGGCTACAGTCCTTTTGCCCTGCCTAGATACATAAAGCCCATCTGATTTAACTATTGATACCTTGGAGTTTTGATGTTTTGATTTTTTTAATTTTTGTAGATCTTAGAAGTAGTTATGTAGTAAATGTAGCAGCATATTATCCCTTTACCCTTAACACACCAGCTCAAACCCCTGTCACTCATTCCCATGATGCCCAAAAAAAGACAGCTTTAAAAAAAACTGCTTAAAGGCAGAATTTTGAGCCTATAAACAGCAGGTATTTATTGAATGATTAACGACGCCGGGGTAGCTTCCAGCTCAGGCTGGACAAAAAAGCTCCGAAGTGGTTCAGTAAAAACAAGCAATTTATACAGTTTCTAATCATGATTACAACATAATCATATGCATAATCATAGTATTGCATCATTAGATTACAATATTCATAGTAGGTGGAGTCGGGGTGGAGATTGAGGCGTGGTCTCTATTTTGAGGAATATTATGGTGGGAGTTCCTGCCTGCCTTCATCCTGGGGTCTGCATTTTACTCATCTTCCTCGGGTGACATCCGTGACCTTTTGTTCTTTCCATTGTTCTGTGTTCTAATCGTTCAAGCTTCAAGAAACCCTTGACTCTAGGCCTACTTTACCTATTCAAATGTCTACCTTGGCTCCTCTGGATGAGATTTATGTGTGTTGAGTTCTTTGTCTAGTGTTTGTTGTGGTTCCTTTAAGGTCTAATGCTCTTAGTACAGCACATTGCCTTCTTGTAAAAGTACAACTTACATTAAACGAAATACAGGGGGATAAGGGGGACTCTTGTGGGTTTACAGTAAAAGTGTTTTTGATTAACCCTTCCTCTTTCACCCATATCAATTCCCTAAATTCCACACCCTATTTAGTCTCTTTTTCAAGGTAGAATTGTAAAAGAACACCCTAACCCTATGGAAGAAGATACAGCCATAGACTCAACAACCTCCAGGCCTAGAATTCTGGAAGGCCTCCAAGGACATTACGTGCTCTGAGGAAGATGAAGATGAAGAAGAGGGGGTCCCAAAACGCCCCCAGACCCAATTTCCAAGAGGCGTGGAGGGGGCAGAACCTGGGTGGTGGCAGGACGGGGATTGGGCGAAAATCATTATAAAAACCGTGGACATCTGTATTTCGAGAGCGCGCGGTGGGGGTATTCCAGAAAGCCTGGGGGCTCATTAAAGCTTTTGTATCCTTATCTTATCTCCTACCTAAATTTGGCTTGGAGTCTTTTTTTCCCCACAGCCATTTAGGCAACACTATGGAGTTTGTCCCATGGTCAAAAACCCCCAAATTTTGACGGTGGTACCAATCCTTTAGCCACCTATTGATAAGGTAGGCTTTCCTACACTTCTCATTCACCTCCTCATTCATTCCAGCAAGTACAGGAACTGAGGCAAATACTACCTGTGCACCTGTCCCATGAACTGATCTACCCAGTGCCTTGAAATCCTTTTTGATTGCCCTGGCACTTCTTCTATTAATATCATCACTACCAGCCTGGATTACCAACAGTGGATAGTAATCTGAGGTTCGAATTAGCTCAGGAAGTCTCCTACCAATGTCCCTCACCCTGGCTCCGGGAAGGCAGCAAACCTCCCTGTAGAATGGATCTGGTTGACATATAGGGCCCTCAGTTCCCCTCAAAAGGGAGTAATCTGTTGGGTACCAGGCAGGCATTAGACCTGGGAAAGCAGGTGCAGTTGCACAGTCACCTCTTACAACTACCCTTCTTTTTTTCCTTATAGCTGTAGTTGTAACCCATCTGGTAGACAGGGTGCAACCTGCAGACAGATCTTCCTCTTGCCTGACCTCTACTTGACTTTCTGAGCCTAGGGCCTCATATCTGTTCTTTAAGGGCACCCAGGGAGGTGATGGGGGTTGAGAGGGTGTTCTTTTACCTCCCTGAACAGGACCTGTTTCCATTCCCCCCCACCCACTCAGTTTGCTCCATCTGCCTGATGGCAGGAGGGGCAGGGTGTCACTGTGTCCTGTTGGACTTCCTTGGAGGTCGAAAGGGTGTGACTCCACCAGTCTGTTTCCCTTTCACTTTCCCTAATACTTCTCAGCCTCTCTACCTCTTCCTTGAGCTCTGCTACCATGCACAGCAAATCATTCACCTGCTCGCATCGCACACAGGTGCCTCTCACACTGTCCCCATGAACTGGAGGAGCAAAAGGTGATGTGTTGAGGATGCCCCACCATACAGTCAGCAACCAGAAAATGACAGGTGATATGCTCTCTTCACTGATGTTTCCTGCCATATTGTAGGGATACATCGAAAATGGAAAGTTGCCATATGGAGTCCTTAAGCTACTGAGGGACAAGGTGGATCAAGTCAGGTTGAAGAGTTGAAAGCCATCCAGCTGGCTTTAGATATTAAAGATTATTTAGATTAAACGAGAGAAATGGCCAGCGCTCTCCCTCTACAGTGACTCTTGGATGGTAGCAAATGCTCTGTGGGGGTGGATTGACCAATGGAAAAAGACCAATTGGCAGCACAGAGAGAAACCCATCTGGGCTGCTGAATTGTGGCAAGACATTGCTGCCTAGGTAGAGAGGTTGGCTGTATAAGTCCGTCATGTAAATGCACCCGTATCCAAGAGTCAGGCTACTGAAGAACATCGCAACACGGACCAGTGGATTGGGCTGCCAAGATTAGTGTATCAGGTGGATCTGGACTGGCAATATAAGGGTGAATTATTTCTGGTTCAGTGGGCCCATGATGCCTCAGGTCATCAGGGCAGAGATGCAACATATAGATGGGTTCGTGATCAAAGGGTGGACTTAACCATGGACACTATCTCCCAGGTTATCCAGAACTGTGAAACATGCACTGCAATCAAGCAGGTCAAGTGGGTAAAGCCTTTGTGGTATGGTGGATGGTGGTTGAAATTTAAATGTGAGGAGGTCCGTCAGATTGATTACATCACACTTGCACAGATCTGCCAAGGCAAGTGCTGCATGCTTACAATGGTGGAAACAACCACTGGATGACTGGAGATGTACCCTGTGCCTCACACCACTGCCTGGAACACCCTCTTGGGCCTTGAAAAGCAAGTCCTGTGGTGACATGGCACCCCAGAAAGAATTGAGCCAGAGAACAGGACACATTTCAAAAACAGACTCATAGACACCTGGGCCAGAGAGCATGACATTGAGTGGGTATATCATATTCCCTATCATGCAACAGTACAATGGACTGTTAAAAACCACATTAAAAGCAATGAGTGGTGGGACCTTCAAACATTGGGATACACATTTAGCAAAGGCCACCTGGTTAGTTAACCCTACATGCTCTACCAATTGAGCTGGCCCTGCCCAATCAAATCTCCACGTACTGTAGAAGGGGATAAAGCCCCCATGGTGCATATGAGGAATGTGTTAGGGAAGACACTTTGGTGTACTTGTTGGGAAATGCAGAGGGATGGAGAAACATGATATGTACCTCAAGGGGATTTGATTTTTGGGTGAGAACAGTCTGTAATGGTGAATTATATAATATTGGTTGCTGAATGACACTGCTGTAACTACCATGGACAATGAGGATGAACTGCTCTAGATACACCAGTCGTGAACTCCTGATGCAGCTTGCAACCAGCCAACAGCACACCAACTCTGCTACCCTGGAAGACAGCTAGGACATATAGAACCCACAGTCATGGACTAAATGAACTCAACAATACATCTTGGTGGGACAGCCATTGACTATGAAAATGATACCTGTGCTTGTGTGTATATATATATATATATATATATATATATAAAAGTATATGTATATAGTTGGAAGGATCTGGGCATGCCGTAGATGGCATAGAATAAGGGATGGATAATGTCCTGGTTCAAGCCAGGACAGGGTTAATTTTTTACAGTAGATAGGAGGGGGGCATGGCCAGACCCTAATGTTATTTGATACCACCTCACATCATTGCTGGGGTGGGGGAAAGGGACTCTCTGGTTTTGGAGGAGAAGGGCATCCTTTTTCTGGTCAAGATACAAACATGGTAAGGAATAGCCAGTCGGTATTCATTGTGGTTTCCTGTGCAAATAATTTCTTTGTCTTATACCTTTTGTTATTAATATTGTTGCTGTTACCGTTCATTTTCTTATCTCATTGCTGTTTCCAGTAAATTGTTCTTAACCCGTGATCTTCGCCTTTTGTGCTTTCACTTGGGATGGGTGGGGAGGAGGGGAGGAATGAGTGGTGTCTGGTTTGGGAGAGTCTTGATAGGGGCACTAAATTGGGGAGTACCATTCCTAAATCATGACAACATGCTAGTACCAAAATGATCTACTGAAATAAAGGCACAGAAAACAATAAGTTCTATGCCATAGTATGAAGAGCTATTGGTCTATTCTAATATGAACTAAAAAGCAATATTTCAATATTTGATGGTTCCACATTAGTATGCAAACAAACGGGAAAGGGTATGATATACTTTATATCTTCTCCCAATTCCACAGACGCATTTGACTTTTTAACAGGAAATTAGATCAAATGTAGCCCATTTCTGTTGTATTTGCTCTCAACAAAGAGACCATAAATTATGTAAACTTTATAGAATTAATTCAGACATAAAATTTAATGCAAAACATAGCCACATGGTAGTATCATGCAAAATACCACAAACTTCTTTGCAGACACTCAATTGTGAGTTCAAGCTATAGGAACATTTTTCATAAAGATGATATAGATTATGATACAGCTGAATAATTTGAAAGTCATGGACTACAAACCGAATCAGCAGAAAAAATGGATATATAAAAAAAGATGCTTGATTGCAGCAGATCTCTGTGGGCCTCTGTGTGTCTATATCTTGCTTCCTTTCTTTGTGTTACATAATTTATTTTCAGCACTTACCAATAATAAAATGCACCAAAGAAAGTGGCTGTTATCTACAGAAAAATTATCAAACCAATAACTAAATAAAGCAGAAAATACATATTTTCTATCTTTCTTTGTTATATTTAAACCATTTTATATGAGTGTGGTATGCGCAGCTGAAAAAAGATACACTATGAACAAGCCATACTAATAGGCCTTAGCCTGTCTTAGCAAGAGGCCTGCTTGCAGGTTGTGGGAAAAGTACTGGGCATTGATAACAGGCTGCAAGAATGTAAACTATTTAGATAATAAGGAGGAGTTTTTGGAGAAAGATAATGATTTCAGATTGTGTGCAAAGCTGCATATACCCAATGGAAAGGGTGTTAGTGATACGTTTGGTTCGTGATTTACAGCATTTGACCAATGGTTTGAAGGTGTTCATGCGCTGCAGGGCTCTGAAGGTATATAAGAGACTGGGTTATGTAAATAAAGTGGAACATCCTGCTTAAATCATATTGGTTTGTGTGCGTTTGTTCACCGTGAGCTCCTCCGCCCATATATGAGTATAAATAAATCTCTCCACTAGGCCAGACATGGCTTTGTCTGTAAAAAAGCAAAGAAAAAACCACAGTGAAACTTCTTTCAACCAGTTCCTCCAGATCCCTTTCTGCAGAGCTGCTGTCCAGCCACTCCTCTCACAATCTATGCTCATACCTGGTTTTACTCTGTCCCAGGTGCAGAATCCAGCATTTGGACTTATTAAATTTCATTGTCCAATGCTCTGATCTATCTAGATCCCTCTGCAAGGCCTCTTGTCTGTCAAGACAGTCAAGAGCACCTCCCACTTTAGTATCATCAGCAAATTTGCTAATGGTCCATGCGACTCCTGCATCCAGATCGTTGATAAATACACTGAACACAACTGGCCCTAGAATTGAGCCCTGAGGAACACCACTAGTGACTGGGCACCAGCCAAATATAGTCCCATTCACTACAACCCTTTGAGCCCTGCTCTTCAGCCAGTTCTTGACCCAGCATACCATGTACCTTCTCATCTCATAGTTGGGCAACTTGTCCATAAGGATGCTGTGAGGGACATTCAGAAAACCTACATCCACCTCTTTCCCTTCATCCACTAGATGGGTGACATTGCAGGTCTACATCATCTCTGGGCAACCTGTTCCAGTGTTTCACCACTCTCATTGTAAAAAAAATGATTTCTTATATTTAGTCTGAATCAACCCTCTTTTAATTTAAAAACGTTACACCTTTGTCCTATTGCAACAGACTCTGCTAAATGTCTGTCCCCAAATGGATACAAGATCACACTGGAGCTCATGCAAACTTTACTTTTTCAGTGCTCAACTTTCAAACTCACTCCACTGAAATGCTCTTATTTAATATTAGGAACTAAATACCTAGAGACAGCCATATACTTTATTTAAATATATACTTTACACAGCAGCCAAATTAAGTGTGACAGCTTGTTTACTATTGGTTCTTGCCCTATGAGAACTTTCAGACACAGTACATTAAGCAAGACAGCAAAATGACAAGTCATGAAAGAAACAGCATTGATATGCATCATTCTTATATTTTTGGTCTCTAAATCCCACAAGATTTACAGATTTCACTATCAAGATTTTAAACACTACAGTAAAGAAGCCAAACAGGTAGGTGGTGCAAAAAACTACAGCCATTCCAACAGATAGCCTCTGTTTTGTTTAATGTCACTTATTACTTAGCTGCCAGCAGGCAAGAACCTGCTGTCAAATTTGACTGCTTTGTATGTACACCTTCGATAAACAAGTTGTGTATTTTAAATACAACACTATCTCCTTCCATTGTCAAAATTGTCCTTGGTTTTCTGTTTCTTGAAGCTACAATTTAATTCCTCAAATGAAAACATAATTCCTTTGTGAAGAAATGTACATCAAAACTAAAGTAAATTAAATGTCTTGAAAGAAAGCCTATAATGAAGTATAAAAAGCATCAGTATTAGTTAGCCAATGCTACTTCTAACAACACAGAGGGTCATTTTTAGTCTTTTAAAAATTTCTGCCATCACATGACTATATATGGAAAACACTTCTGAACACACCTCTTGATCCGTGAAGATCTCTATGAAACTATGGAAGGAGAAGGTCCCTGACTGGAGAATGAGTTCTCCTGTGTTTTCAAAGCACTGTCCAGTGAGAACAAGGAGCTTGTGTCTTGCAGCATCTGTGATCATTAAGCGCACCTAAAGTGGAGGAGAGAAACACATGGGAGTTACCATGTTTGTACATTCCTCTGAGAACATAAGGTTTACCTCACCTAATTTAAAACATATTTTGCACCAAAGTCTCCATAGGACTGTCAAAACATTTCAAGTTATGAAGTGCTTTTATTGTCTGGAGCTTGATGGTGATGATTGAGTTGAGTGTTTATGGTTAAAAATCAGGGGGAAGGCCGACAAGGCAGATATCCTGATGGGAGTTTGTTGTAGATCACCTAACCAGGATGAAAAAGCAGATGAAATGCAGCTGGGAGAAATCTTGCAATTGCTTGATCTTGTTCTCCTGGGGGTCTTCAACTTACGAGATGTCTGCTGGAAATACAACACAGCAGAGAGAAAACAGCCTAGGAGATTCCTGGAGTGTGTGGAAGAAAACTTCCTGACACAGCTGGTGAGGGAGCCAGGTAGGGAAGGTGCCTCCCTAGATGTGCTGTTTGTGAACAGAGATGTTTGTGGGTGATGTGATGGTTGGAGGCTGTCTTGGGCATAGCAATCATGAAATGATAGAGTTTTCAAATCTCAGAGAAGTAATGAGGGGCGCCAGCAGAACTGCCACCTGGGACTTCTGGAGGGCAGGCTTTGGCCTGTTAAGGAGACTGGTTGAGACAGCCCCTTAGGAGGCAGTCCTGAAAGGCAAAGGAGTCCAGGAAGGCTGGAAGTCTCTCTCTTATTTTGCTACTATAATATTATAATATTATATTCCATTTGTTTCAATTATTAAACTGTTCTTATCTGAACCCATGAGTTTTACTTTTTTTTTTTCCTGATTCTCCTCTCCATCCCACTGGGATGGGGAGGAAGTGTGCAAATGGCTGTATGGTACTTAGTCGCCAGTTTGGGTTAAACCATGACAAACTATTAAAGAAAAAGTTTAACAAAGAAATAAAACTAATAACATAGGGGAAAATAGAGTAAGGAGAATAGAACAAGAATTGAATGAAAAACTACATTTCTTCTATAACTCTCGTTGAATTTTAATAGCAGTATATCAGGACAGCCGTGGTCAGCTGTGTCCCACATGCTAATGTGTCAGACTGCTTTTGGAAGGCAAATTTTCTTTTCCCACTGTACAGCATTACTTCTCATTCAGTTGCAAAAATGTCATTAAAAAGTAACAGCCACAAATCACACATAAAAGTGGTATATTTAGACTGTCATTCTGTTCAATTATCTACAAAGCTAAGGGATGTTTCTGTTTCACCATAATCATAATCAAGTACTCAGCTAGTCACATGTGCTATTTACATCTCATCACTAACTATGGACACTGTAACTTTTTAAAGTGTGCCAGCCCAAGACCTTTTTCAAAACATAGTAATAAATTATAACAATCCCTGATGGCTCAAAGGAGCTTGCAACAGAGAAATAAACTGCATTTTGAAATAACTGTTAACTATTTTAAACTAGATTCTTGTTATTTTATTATATCCTCACTGTAGCTAGAAATAATTACTATTTCCCTCCAGGGGGAGATTTCCTTGCATGTTAAGCAAAATCCATATATTCAGTATACTTCTGTTGTCTGAATTCAACTTAAATTGAAGAAAAAAACAAAATAAAACCTTTGTAAGATTCTGTACTGTTGAGTAAACTTTTTGCAAATGTGATGGGTTGACCTTAGCTGGCTGCCATGTGCTCACCAAGCCTCTTTATGACATATCATATGTAGTGCCTGATGTCTTCTAAAAGGTTCCTCTCCAGCTTTCTTTTGGGCTTCCTTCATGTTTTGAAAGGCTGCTATAAGGTCTTCCCAGAGCTTTCCCTTGTCCAGGCTGAACAGTCCAAATTCTCTCAGCCTTTCCTCATAGGAGAGGTGCTCCATCCCTCTAATCATCTTCGTGGCCCTCCTCTGGGCTCACTCCAACAGGTCAATGTCCTTACTGTGCTGAGGACCCCAGAGCTGAACGCAAGTACTCTAGGTGGGGTCTCCTGAGAGCAGAGTAGAAGGTAGAGGAGAATCACCTCCCTTGATCTGCTGGCCACCCTTCTTTTGATGCAGCCCAAGATATGATTTGCTTTCTTGGCTGCAAGCACACATTGCTGGGTCATGTCAACCATTCTCTTGTCCTTGTTGAATTTCAAGAGGTTTGTACGGTGTGGGAGGAACATGGTGAATGTGTGAGCAATTTATATTGTGTGTGGTACTTTTATAAACTTTCATATAGTTTTACAAGTACTATAAGTCATAAGTGCCAAGATGGCTGCTGGTCTCTTTGCTAGAACAAAAGGAAATCGGTGCCAAGAAGAAGGTGGAGTTTGATAAAGTAAATAATTGCCTTGTTACCTGTTAATAACCAATTATAAAGGTATTTGTAATGCATGTTTACATCTGGACAGTGACCTGTAACCAATTATGTGCTTCTTATCACGAGACCTTGTACACAGATGCTATAAAAACCCTGAGCTATCCTGATAAATCGGACATATTTTAGATGTCACAGATCGTGTATGTATGTCTCAGAGCCTCCCCACCAACAGTACGGGCCCACTTCTTGGGTTTGTCTGGGTCCTCCTAGATGACACCTCATCCTTCAGGTATGTCAGCTGAACCACTCAGCTTGGTGTCATATGTAAACTTGCTGAGGGTGGATTCAACCCCACTGCTTATGTCACTGATGAAACACCACTTGTCACTAATGTCCATCAGGCCATTGAGCCATTGACCACTAACCTCTGGATGTGACCATTCAACCAATTCCTCATCCACTGAACAGTCCACCCATCAAATCCATATGTCCAATTTAGAGAGAAGGATGTTGTGAAGGACTGTGTCAAAAACCTTACAGAAGTCCAGATAAATGACATCTGTAGCAATTCCCTTGTCCACTGATGTAGTCCCTCTGTGGAGAGTGTCTTGGCAACTACATCAGCCAATTCCCTCAGGATTTTGGGATGCACGTAGTTGAGTCCCATAGACTTATGTATGTTAAAGTTCCTCGGGCCATCACAAATCTAATGTTCTCTTACAGTGGGAGTGACTTTGCTCTTCCAGTCACCATCTTGT